ACTTCCCCCCCCCCCCCCTCATCAATGTCTCCATCAGACTTCCCCCCCCCCCCCCATCAATGTCTCCATCAGACTTCCCCCCCCCCCCCCCCATCAATGTCTCCATCAGACTTCCCCCCCCCATCAATGTCTCCATCAGACTTCCCCCCCCCCCCTATCAATGTCTCCATCAGACTTCCCCCCCCCCCCCCCTATCAATGTCTCCATCAGACTTCCCCCCCCCCCCCCATCAATGTCTCCATCAGACTTCCCCCCCCCCATCAATGTCTCCATCAGACTTCCCCCCCCCATCAATGTCTCCATCAGACTTCCCCCCCCCCCCATCAATGTCTCCATCAGACTTCCCCCCCCCCCCCATCAATGTCTCCATCAGACTTCCCCCCCATCAATGTCTCCATCAGACTCCCCCCCCATCACTGTCTCCATCAGACTCCCCCCCCCCCCCCATCACTGTCTCCATCAGACTCCCCCCCCCCCCCCCCCCATCACTGTCTCCATCAGACTCCCCCCCCCCCCCCATCACTGTCTCCATCAGACTCCCCCCCCCCCCCATCACTGTCTCCATCAGACTCCCCCCCCCCCCATCACTGTCTCCATCAGACTCCCCCCCCCCCATCACTGTCTCCATCAGACTCCCCCCCCCCCATCACTGTCTCCATCAGACTCCCCCCCCCCCCATCACTGTCTCCATCAGACTCCCCCCCCCCCATCACTGTCTCCATCAGACTCCCCCCCCCCCATCACTGTCTCCATCAGACTCCCCCCCCCCCCATCACTGTCTCCATCAGACTCCCCCCCCCCCCTCACTGTCTCCATCAGACTCCCCCCCCCCCCCATCACTGTCTCCATCAGACTTCCCCCCCCATCAATGTCTCCATCAGACTTCCCCCCCCATCATGTCTCCATCAGACTCCCCCCCCCCCCATGTCTCCATCAGACTCCCCCCCCCCCATGTCCCATCCCATCAGACTCCCCCCCCCCCATGTCTCCATCAGACTCCCCCCCCCCCCATCAATGTCTCCATCAGACTCCCCCCCCCCCCATCAATGTCTCCATCAGACTCCCCCCCCCCCCCCCCCCATCAATGTCTCCATCAGACTCCCCCCCCCATCAATGTCTCCATCAGACTCCCCCCCCCATCAATGTCTCCATCAGACTCCCCCCCCCCCCCCCATCAATGTCTCCATCAGACTCCCCCCCCATCAATGTCTCCATCAGACTCCCCCCCCATCAATGTCTCCATCAGACTCCCCCCCCCCCCCCCCCCATCAATGTCTCCATCAGACTCCCCCCCCCCCCATCAATGTCTCCATCAGACTCCCCCCCCCACACTCCATCAATGTCTCCATCAGACTCCCCCCCCCATCAATGTCTCCATCAGACTCCCCCCCCCATCAATGTCTCCATCAGACTCCCCCCCCCATCAATGTCTCCATCAGACTTCCCCCCCCATCAATGTCTCCATCAGACTCCCCCCCCCCCCCATCAATGTCTCCATCAGACTCCCCCCCCCCATCAATGTCTCCATCAGACTCCCCCCCCCCCCATCAATGTCTCCATCAGACTCCCCCCCCCCATCAATGTCTCCATCAGACTCCCCCCCCATCAATGTCTCCATCAGACTTCCCCCCCTCCTTACTTCACGTGGGGGTGAGAGGGGAGAGGCGAGAGCTGTGCATATCAGCTGTGGGCCAGGTACAATGTCGTAGTGAGTCGCATGCGGCTCATGGACTATAGTTTGGATGAAGACACGTGTAATTGGTTGTTACAGGTTCCTGTCTTCTGGCGCATCTTTAAAGCGAACTGAAGGACCCATATAAACGATTTCATGGAATTGCAGCAAAACACTCCACACGGGTCACATCCTAAATGACACCCCAAAGCAACTTGCCAACAGACATGGATGGCAGCACAGAATGTCTGCCATTTGGAGGGTCTTCTTGTGTTTGGGACGTAGTTCGTGGAGCAGGTCGCCTACGGCCACTGTGGCCACTGATGTACCTGAACTCCTAATGCGTTTTGTGAGCACACATCTATTTTATCAATACAATAAAGTCATCGCAAAGGTAATGCGCAAGGCTGGTGCGCTCACTGTTCCTTGTTTTACAGGTAAATACATTGCAGGTCCATCAAGACAAAAGGGGTGCAAAGTCTTACAGTTGGTTTTCTTTAAAAAAACAGTCAAAGCTTAAGTAGAAAAGCCTGTCCCCCGCCAGCATGCTATAAGAGAAGGACTCTTGTTCTCTGTGTGGAAGCAGTGGTGTCTCTGCAGAGGTCCTACCCATTCCCTTTGCAATCACAGAATTCTCCAGGCTGCAGGGAGCATGAGCTTTGCCTGCTCGAGGTAGGATTCAGAATGGAGGGTTTCAGTCCTCTACAGAGAGACTCCCGCTTCCACAAATGTAAAGTCCATTGGCATTTAACCCTTTCACCGACTTAAAATGCCCCAACATTATATATTTTCTAAAATTAGAGACCCTGGAGAAAAAAAAAAATAAAAAATGGTGGTAGTTTCAGATTTTTTTCAGCAAAAAATACACTAAAGTTAATTTTAGGGAACACAGTCACAATATAAATACCCATTTTTTGGGGAAAAATCTAAAAGACGAGGCAGTGCTGAGTAAATAAATATCCATGTCAAGCCCTACAATGATGTGCACCCGTGAAACGGCAACAAACCTTGGCACCAGAAATTTTCCATAGGTGATGCTTTAACCACTTGACCTCCTGAGGATTTACCCCCCTTAATGACCACGCCTCTTTTTGCTACTCGGCGCTGCACTAATTCAACTGATAATTGCGCGGTCATGCAATGCTGCACCCAAACGAAATTTACGTCCTTTTTTTCACACAAATAGAGCTTTCTGTCGGTGGTATTTGATCACCTGTGCGCTTTTTATTTTTCACGCTATAAAACAAAAAGGCCACAAATTTTGAAGAAAAACAATATTTTTTACTTTCAGCTATAAAAAATATATAGTAAACTCAAAGTTGGTTATAAATTTAGGACAAAATGTATTCTGCTCCATGTTTTTGGTAAAAAAAATCCCAATAAGTGTATATTGATTGCTTTGTGTGGAAGTTATGTCTACAAACTATGGTATAAATACTGCAATTTACGCCATTTTTTTGCTATACAGCGCTGCGCTAGTTTAACGGACAATTGCGCGGTCATGCAATACGGTACATAAATGAAATTTACATCCTTTTTTTTCCCACAAATTGAGCTTTCTTTCGGTGGTATTTGATCGCCTGTGCGGTTTTTACTTCTTGCGCTATAAAAAAAAAAGTCTGACAATTTTGAGGAAAAAAAAAAAAATTTTTGGGACGTTTTGCTATAAAAACATGTCCAGTAAAAAAAAAAATTTAAAAATCAAATTTAGTTATAAATTTCTGCCAAAATGCATTCTGCGACATGTCTTTGCTAAAAAATAAAAACCCAATACGTGTAAATTAATTGGTTTACGTGAAAGTTATAGCGTTTACAAATGGCGGGAAAGATACTGGGATTTTTAGGTTTTTTTTATACTAATAATGGCGGCGATCAGTGACTTATGGCGGTGATCAGCGATTTATGGCGGGACTGTGGCGGACATTCTGACATTGGGGGGTACTGACTTGGGGTCACTGACATCCCCAGTGACACCAAAACAGTGATCAGTGCAAAAAAAAAAAAACACTGACACTGTACTAATGGCACTGGGGTTAAGTTTATTCAGGAAAAGGGTTAACTGTGTGAGGGGAGTGTTTTACTAGGGGGCGGGGGGTGTACTGCACGGAACACTGCTGATCGGGAGAGAGAAACTCTTCTGTCCCGATCAGCGTGTCTGGAGGAGCTGTCAGGGAACTGACAGAAAGCACAGCTACTGCAGCTGTGCTCTCTATCAGCGATTGCCGCCGATCGCCGGGACATAGCCAGTAAGGACTGACATCTGCGGCTCTGATCGGCGGGACAGGTAGGGCGGCAGCGCGCCTCGCGTGCGCCCCCTATTTACAAAACACACGTTTTAAAATGTGCTTTTGCCAGCCGTGCCACCGTATTTCTACAGTGGCTGGGCGGCATGTGGTTAAATGCCCCCCTACAGGTCATCAGGTAATACCCCGTACACATAAGAAAATTGTACGAAAAATTTTGCGGAACCACTGATCGAACGATTTTCTCTTTGTTGTTGAGCAGGATGTTTTAACCATAACGATATTGTGAATGAAAAAATCCGGTTGAACAGTGAAAAAGTTTGATGTTTCACATTCAACCGATTTTCTATGTGCTGGTATGATGGTCGTACGGAAAAAAAATCTATCAAGCGCTGTCACACGTGAGCGGAAACAGAAGATGACCCGGATGTTTATGTCCAAGGAATCTTCGGAAACACGAACGAAAAATCCAAATGTTAACCTCCCTAGCGGTCTGATTATGTCCATATTTCTGTGCTCAAAGCAGTAAAAATTTTTTTGCATGGAAATATGTATTTTTTTTATTGTAGGCTGTAATTTTTAGGAATAACTCACTGAAATCTGTCCGAACAAGAGTCTAGTAAACATCCCGGGTATGATAAAATTTTAAACACGAAATCATAAATTATAATAATCATAAAAATAATAGATTAATAAAATTCAATAATATAATAATAATAAATGGAATTCAATAATTTAATCAAACCAAAAAACACTGAAATGTGAAATAGAGCGCCAAGTTCGCACATTGCTAAGCAAAGTCGCAGAATCGTTTTCAGTGTCTGATGAGGAATTTCCCCCACGAATCATTATCACTCAATTCTGCAAGTGGTTCTGATTTACTATCGCTGTTCTCTAGCCGGTCTAAAACCGCTTTTGACCTAAAGGGACGCTTTTTGGACGCCATGGACGTTTCTCAGTTTCCAGGCAGAAAGAACAGTAAAAATGCAGGCAGTGCGCCGGACAAAGCACTCGGGACAAAATGTATGTGAAATGGTTTGATACAGGAATGTTATACTATGTGATTTTAGTGTATTTAGTGAATGTCACTTTTACAATTTTCAAATATCCCGCCAGTTCCGTCCCCCGTACGTCCCGACGTCGCAGGGAATGGAACCGGAAGACAGATGCCGGCATCGGCCGGAGGACATTGCCAGGGACACTGCAGGAGGGACATCGCGGGAGCGCAGGACAAGGTAAGTGCAGAAGAGATCCCGGAGCAACGCTGCAGTGTATTCCCGAGTGTAGCTCGGGGGGGTTACCACTTGTGGTGCTGAAACTTTACCCCGAGCTACACTCAGGAATACCTCCAGGGAGGCTAAAAGTAGATTGGCTTAATGAGATGATGAAACCAGAATTCTGCAGATTATAGTTTATGTATCACTATTGATGTATAGTGGTCATGTAATAAACGATATTATCCTCATTGCTGGTAATCATTGTGTATATCGCTCGTTCTGGCCGGAAGGGGCGTGGCCACAAGGTCACACACGCACTGCATCACTTCCACTTGTATGGAAGACGTCAACACTACGTATTGCCTGAACGATTTTTTTAGATTGGTTAATGTGGGCCACGATTTTGACCAACGAACGAATGCCTCTCGGTCATCGGATGACCGATTGGTCGATTTTCTAATTGTGTATTGCCACCTTTAGAGTTTACTTTGAATAACAAGCCTGGATATTTTGCTCTCACTCGGCGTGTGGCAATTTGTAAAGTGTATTTGTATTCAACGTTTCCATGTGCAAGTGCCACCGACGGGTGTAATTATGTCCATATACGCATTTATGTGGGGGGGATCTTAAAAGATCTGATTTTTTTTTTAAATTTTTTAACTGAAACTTTATTGTTCATGACATAGGAAACATAAAGCCACCTTTTTTTGTGACAGGTTCTCTTTAATGAGACATCAGTGTCTTTTAGACCCCCGGTGTCTCACCTGCCCGTCAATGAAGCACAGATCACAAACCACTAGGTTAGTTCCCAGGCAGACCAGAAGACAGGGACAGCCTGACCCAGAAGGGACATTTTACACATTGCTTGCAGGTTCTTAGTAGGAAGGGGAGATCAGCAAACAGTTGTTCGCTGATGTCCCTCCCCTCTACCTAGCGACACCCAAAATTCCGGTGCCAGGTCCGCCAATGGGAACACGTGCAGAGAGAACAATTACTGCCAGGATGCGTGGACACAATCTCACGGCTGTACAGCTGTCCAATCCCTTTCTTCCACCAATAGTTGGCTTCTCAGATTTACACACATTGCCAAGAGGATGAAACCGCGGATGTAAATGGCAGCAAAAAGGATCAAAAGCCAAAAGCTTAGGAGTGTTCAATGGAAGAACTAGCACTTCCCCCTGGCAGTACTCGGGTCGTTGGTTTGAATCCAAAGCATGGAACCTCCTGCCTGGAGTTTGCATGTTCTCCCTGTGTCTGCATGGGTTCCCTCCAGGTACTCCGGTGTCCTCCCACACTCCAAAGACATGCTGGTAGGTGAATTGGCTCCTGTCTAAATTGTCCCTAGTATGTGTATGTATGAAGGTGAGTTATGGACCTTAGATTGTACGCCCCTTGAGGGTTAGGGACTGATGTGAATGTACCGGGGTGGATAAAAATCAATGATTTTTTTTTAAAAATCAAAAAAAAAAAAAATCAGATTTTTTTTTTTATTTAAATCACATTTTGATTTAAATCTGATTTTTTTTATTTAAATCGGATTTTTTTAAATAAAATGCTTTTTGAGGAAAATATATTACCATCCAAAGGTTATTCCATCATGAAATAAAGATTCGTTTTTTAATTATGTACAATAAAGCTGTATATGTTTAATTGTTTTGGTAAATAAATTCCATGAATCCATTCACCATGTCATGCTCTTCCAGAGGTTTTTGTAAGATTATTGGGCAGTTTCTCTGCCTACAAGATATTATCACAGATGATTGGTTTACTTTGCAGTTCTCAAAACTGAATTTGACTCAGCGGAGATCACATGCCTCTTCTTCACAGCAAAAATGTTATAACATGAACAGAGTCAAGAAAAAGACCTTCATCCTAACTTCTACAAACCTATGAATACAGAATCAGCCCCTTCACTGCTAAGTTTCAAGAAGTTCAGTGAATAGAATAGAAACAATATTTTTCTGATTGTTTGGAGTGGAATAGATCTGCACAAGAAGAAGTACAACTTCCTAAGTACAACAGAAAAGTTGTCCAAATATGAATGATTAGGGAAGGCTACAGTAGGTCGGCCGCCACGAGGGGCCCCGGTGGCCATCTTTGTTTGCATCTGAGTCAGTACATTTCTTTCATTGGATTTTCTCTGCTATCCTGTACCTGCATATATAATAAAGATACTCTAAGGATATCACACTATGTGGCCCTCTCTGTTTATTTGAGTCCTGGTGGGAACCAGCCAGACCTTCAGAGCAGCCGCATCTATCCAAGTACCAGGCAGTGAAAGTCATGCTGACCTGACCAGTTTGATGACACCGGAGGTCCAGTGACATCACATACAAATGCGCTTAAAGATTGCGTATCTGGTGAGTGCGCAATCTTTACAATTTTTATCACCTGGCAGTTCCAAATATTGGATGTCTGAGGATCATCTCGGATCTTAAGAGCACCCCTCTATTAGACTTTTTTATTTATTTTGCACTTCCTTCACTTCATAGCCACCACCTAGTGGCTTTATTTTATCAGCACATAGTCACTGTTTATTATGTGTGTTTGATTTTATTGTCTGCTAAGTTACATAGCGCTGCACCTCCCCCCCCCCCCCTTTTTAAATATGAATGATTAACCTATTAAACTGGGGATAACAAAACTAATATGAAAAGTTGTTATTCTAAAAATCTTCATCTACTTGCATATTAAAGTTTATACCAGCAAGAATTAGTCTTTATGTAGAAAACTAGGATTTACATCAAGCCTTACTGACTAGTGATTTAAATCAAATCCACCCTGGAATGTACAATATATATATGTAAAGTAATGCGTAAATTGACGGCGCTATACAAGTACCTGAAATACTTTATATAAAGCACGTCACCTCTACTCAGTTCCGCCTGGCAGTACTCGGGTCGTTGGTTTGAATCCCAACCACGGCACCACCTGCCTGGAGTTTGCATGTTCTCCCTGTGCCTGCGGGGGTTTTCCTCCCACACTCCAAAGACATGCTGGTAGGTTAATTGGCTCCTGTCTAAATTGTCCCTAGTATGTGTATGTGAATGTAAGTTAGGGACCTTAGATTGTACACCTCTTGAGGGTTAGGGACTGATGTGAATGTACAATATATATGTAAAGTGCTGCGTAAATTGATGGTGCTATATAAGTACCTGAAATAAATAAATAATAAATAAATCCCACCCACAGCACTACCTGCCTGAAGTCTGCATGTTCTCCCTGTGCCTGCGTGGGTTTCCTCCGGGTACTCAGGTTTCCTCCCACACTCCAAAGACATGCTGGTAGGTTAACTGGCTCCTGTCTAAATTGTCCCTAGTATGTGTATGTATGAATGTGAGTTAGGGACCTTAGATTGTACGCCCCTTGAGGGTTAGGGACCTTAGATTGTACACCCCTTGAGGGTTAGGGACCTTAGATTGTACACCCCTTGAGGGTTAGGGACCTTAGATTGTACACCCCTTGAGGGTTAGGGACTGATGTGAATGTACAATATATATGTAAAGCGCGGCGTAAATTGCCCTGAAATAAATAAGTCAAGGTTTAATTGCTGTGTCCCCGCTGGGGAGATTCCCTAGTGTCTCCGAGACAAAGTGAGGAGTAATTATTACCAAATCAGGAATAGAGGAGAAAACTTCCAATGGGGACAAAGCTTCTGATAACTTCACCTCTATTTTTTTTATATAAATTTGCTTTCTCCACATTGTTGAAGAGCGTGGCCCATTTTGTTTGATATCAGATCTTTGACTATATATAGAGGCTGATTTTGATCTGCTGGATTTACTTTGTGGTTTGGGGATAGGCAGCGCAGTTCTTTTTTTTTTTTTTTTCAATCAAGAAAAGGAAGCCGACGAGTCCCTACTTGGGGTAAAAATAGATCTACACTAAAACCCAAGGCTGAAAACGAAGTGGTGGGCCAGTCGGTCTTTTTCTGTCCACGCTCACTAAAAATAAAACGTTGGAGCCCTTTGAATAGAAGAATCTTTATTAAACGATCTTTTTCCTTGTAGGGTTTTGTAGCCCCTCACACTGAGACGGCAGAACGAGCTGGTGATCTGCACGGACAGATGCTGGAAAAGTGGAACGCTGTAGTCGCTCGGCCTGTGCGGTCATTCAGCAGGTCCCAGCCAGTGATTAACCTCCCTGGCGGTATGATTATTTCAGATTTTTGGTGCTGAAAGCGGTACCATTTTTTTTTGCATGGAAATATGTATTTTTTTTATTGTAGGCTGTAATTTTTAGGAAAAACTCACTGAAATCTGTCTGAACAAGAGTCTAGTAAACATCCCGGGTATGATAAAATTTGAAACACAAAATCATAAATTATAATTTAATAAATAATCATAAAAATAATATAAAAATAATAAAAAATTTAATTCAATAATATAATCAAACCAAAAACACTGAAATGTGAAATAGAGCGCCAAGTTTGCACATTGCTGAGCTCAGTCGCAAAATCGTTTTCAGTTTCTGATGACGAATTTCCCCCACGAATCATTATCACTCAATTCTGTAAGTGGTTCTGATTTACTATCGCTGTTCTCTAGCTGATCTAAACCGCTTTTGACCTAAAGGGACGCTTTTTGGACGCCATGGACATTTCTCAGTTTCCAGGCAGAAAGAATGGTAAAAATGCAGGCAGGGCGCCGGACAAAGAACTCGGGACAAAATGTATGTGAAATAGGTTGAAACAGCAATGTTTTACTGTGTAAAATGTAAAAAAAAAAAAAAAGACATTTTTTAAAATTTTTAAATTTCCCGCCGCCGGCGGCGCCCCGTACGTCCCGACGTCACAGGGACAGGACACAGAAGCCGGATGCCGGCATCGGCCGGAGGAGATGGCCAGGGACGCTGCAGGGGACACATCGTGGGAGCGCAGGGTAAGGTAAGTGAAGAACACATGCCGGAGCAGCGCCGCATGGTATTCCCAGTGTAGCTCGGGGTTACCGCTTTTGGTACTGAAATGTTACCCCGAGCTACACTCGGGAATACCGCCAGGGAGGTTAATGGCCGGGACCTTCTGGTGGGCTTAGCGAATGACAGCACAGAGCCCTGTGTTGACAAAACACAGAGCCCTGTACAGACAGCAGCGATGTGGTTGTTTTTGGGTGGATTTTTCCCCTCAAACAGTCACATCGCTTAGTAAAACAAGCGCATATTACACACATTACACTTGTTAGGCACACAGTTAACCCTTTGATTGTGCCTAGATGTTAACCCCTTCCCAGTCAGTGTCATTAGTGCAGTGACAGTGTATAGCAGTGTTTCTCAACCTTTTTTTTAGTCAAGGCACCCTTTAAAACTATGGACTGTCCCAAGGCACCCTTTAAAAAAAAACTTTGTAAAGTCTTAAGATGCCGTTCTAAAATGGGGTGCCTCAACACTGCCCATAATTTTAAAAGAGCACCCCATTCTAAAATGTGAATAACTATTCTAATAGTTTTATATAACGCAGCAACATCCACACATGTAGGACCCCCAATATTAGAGGCGATTTATTCTTCTAAAGCAAATACACTTCTGCACACTGGTACTGACTAGTATTCCCATGTTTCTCTTCTCCCTCAGTTTTGCTCCATCACTGAGTTAATGTGACCCCAGCACTGACAGAGAGGGGCAGGGGATGATCAAGCTAGGATGCTGTGCAGGCGGCTGACAACCTCCTTATCAACTGATGATGTCATTGGTTGTCAGGATGCCGGCAGCTAGAAGGTCATAATAGGGCACTAGGAAAATCTATGGCTTTGTGTAACTAAAAGGCAGGCTTGTTCCACCCACTGGCTTGTATACAAGTTTTGGGCAATTTTTAGACATTTTGCCAAGGCACCCCTGAAGACACTTCAAGGCACCCTGGTTGAGAAAGACTGGTGTATAGTATCAGCACTGATCACTGTATTAGGGTCACTGGTGATGTCAGTGTCAGATTGCCTGCCGCACTATCACAGTCCAACTATAAGTCGCTGATCACCGCCATCACTACTACTATAAAAAAATAAATAAAAATTCCAGTATGCATTCCATAAACTGTTGACGTTCTAACTTCTGGACAAACCAATTAATATGCACTTATTGGGATTTAACTAAAGATATGCAACAGAATACAATTTGGCCTAAAGTTATGAAGAAATTTGTTTTGGTATTTTATAATCGGATATATTTCATAACAGAAAATATTAGGGTTTTTTTTCCCAAAATGTTCGTTTTTTTCATTTATATAATAAAAAAATATACTCAGTAGTGATCAAATACCACCAAAAGAAAGCTCTATTTGTGTGAAAAAAATTACATACTCTTTATTTGGGTATAGCGTTGCATGACCGCGCAATTGCCAGTTAAAGTAGTGCTGTGCCACACAGCAAAAATTGGTCACGAAGGGGGTAAAATCTTCCAGAGGTTAAGCGGATACATTTAAAATAAAAAATTGCCTTTACAACCACCTTAAGGCCGGGATGTGTAACTTATGTGGTTGGCAAGAGGTGAAACTAAAATACTGTACTGTTATCCAAAGGCCGACACGATTATCTGGAGCGCCGTTTATAAATGGAGCTGCAGAAAACACACGAGTGGCCAGTGCATTCATGTATGGCTGTGATCTGAGCTGTTGTTGTGGTGACTCAGATCAGCCACAATGTGGCTCTGTACCTTGTGATTGCTGAAAGCTAATCACAGCCATCACCAATGTTCACAACCAACCAATTCATAGTGAAGGAAGTGAAGCTCTGAATGTCTGCAAAGGTTAAAGGGGGGAAATTGTGGGACTTTTTTTTTTTATTTTTTTTTTTAGAAAGGTAAATGTAAACAATCCCAAATATCCTATCCTTTTTTTCCTGCAGTAAATTAACCACTTATGGACCGCCCTGTAGTAGATATACTGCTACAGGGCGGCACCTGTGCGCAGAATCACGTCATTTTGCATTTCCGGGTGGGGCGCGCGCGAGCACTACCCGTGCCACCATTCGCGGCCGCGGATGTCAATCACCAGGTCCCCGGTGGTAATTACCCGCCGGCGCTTTATGATTACCGAGCATGTCCGACAGGGAGGAATATTGTTTTTTTTACAAACAGTCTTCCTCTCTGTCAGCTCAATCCCACTGCTCTGGATCACTGTGCACAGTACAGCCATCCTGATCAGTGTGCTTACAGTGAAGCACACACCCCACCCGGTCCCTAGTAAAACACTCTCAGCACACAGTTAACCCTTTGATCGCCCCTCACATTAACCCCTTCCTGTCCAGTGCCATTAGTACAATGTCAGTGGGGGTATTTTTTTAGCACGGATCACTGTATTGGTGTCACTGGGGTGTCAGTGGCACCAAGTTAGTTCCCCCCCAGTGTCAGAATGTTCACCACAGTCCTGCTAAAAGTTGCTGATCGCTGCCATTACTAGTAGCAAAAAAATCCCATTATCTACACCGCCGTTTGTAAACGCTATAACTTTCACGGAAACCAATTAATTTACACGAATTGGGATTTTTGTTTAGCAAAGACATGGAGCAGAACACATTTTGGCCTAAATTTATGAAATTTTTTTTTTACTGGACATGTTCAATAGCAAAAAGTCAAAACTGTACAGGTGATAAAATACCACCGAAAGGAAGCTCAATTCGTGGGTAAAAAAGGACATAAATGTTATTTGGGTGAAGCGTTGCACGACCACGCAATTGTCAGTTAAAGTAACGCAAAAAATGACCTAGTCGGGAAGGAGGGGGGGGGGATCCTCAGGAGGCAAGTGGTTAAAAGAACAAAAAAAAAAAAAAACAACAAAAACATTGGTTAATAAAGCCCATCCCCCCCTTCCCCAATGCAGAGATTGAGGGCTAAATCACAGCAGCTAGTGTGCAGTGGGATCACATCACACTGTTCACTATTTTTTTTTTAAACCAACTTTATTTAAAAGTCACACAGCCATATTAGATTAAGTTATATTGGCTGCCATGGCATACGAGGTATTGGATTATGCGCTGAAACAAAAAAGCGTGGTGGAGGGGAAGGAGGCACAGAGATGCACGCAGTGTGGAATGTACAGCGACAGCATTGACCTGGTTCCCCAAGTGCTCCATCATATCACCCGTCACAGGAGCAGAATCAACTGAAGAGAACTCATCACTGCAGTAAGAGGCGCCCAAAATCGCAGAACATTTCACCACTAACTGGAGATCAGTCCAAATCCAATGATGGAGGTTATACTGCAGGGTGGAGCCACACCTGCTCCGCCTGTAAAGAGAACCTGTCACAGACCAGCTGATAGGGAGATGACATTTCTGGCATTGGGGGGAGGGGGCGGTGATGGTAGTATTGGTCTGTGCCATTAAAGGATAAGTTCGCCTTTTGGACAAAAATAATAAATGCAGATTTTTTTGCAGGTATAAAAATTGTGCATTTATTATTTTTGTCCAAAGGAGCCTGGACAGCATTGCACCAGCGATCAGTAGATCTCCTGGTCTCCTGCAGACCTGTCAGAATATCTGCCTGCCATACAGGATGTACGGTCAATTGGGATATTCTGACAGGAAGGTTCAATTAACTACCATGGCGCTCCACAGCACTGTAGTAGTTCATTGAAAACTAAAAGCTGACAGCTGCTAAGGCTGTTGGGACTTGTGGTCCATTCACTCATGGAAGTCTGTGAATGAATGATGCGGCTGTGTGGGCGGAGCCCTCCAGGGCCGCGCTGTTTTCAAATTTGACAGATAGTACGGAAAAACTTCTCCCCGTATTACCTGCCGGGGGGGGGGGGGGGGCGGCGGCTGCAGCTATGGGGACATGTTACGTGTTCCAAAGGTGAATGTATCCTTTAAAGACCCCCTGTCACTGCAAAGGGTGACACTGGTGAGTGGGGTGAAGGCAGTCTTGGTCTAATACCATTAAAGAGAACCTGTCACTGGGACCCAGCCAATAGGAAGGGGACACTGATAGAGGAGGAGCCGGGGGATTCCAATGGCAGTGATGAGAACATGTCACAGTAGACCAGCCGATAGGAGCGGACATGGATGAGGATTTTTTTTTTAGGGGGAGGGGTGGTTGGGAAATCAAAATCAGTCTCAGTGTAGAAAATATATTATAGTGTACACATACTGCTGGCCCAGCCAATAGGATGCAGGGAGTGACACGGGGGGGGGGGGGGTTGGGGGTGATGGCAGCCTTAGCCCAAAGCCATTTCAGCAAACCTGTCACTGATGGGCCCAATCGGGATGGGGGATGATGGCGATCTTAGTAAAGAGCCCCTGTCACCGCACACACTGTAAACCAAGCCAATAGCGTTCAGGGGGTGACACTACGGGGGAGGGGACGAGAGCGTTGCAGGGGGGGTGATGACGATCTCAGTAAAGAGAACCCGTCACCGAGGCTCAGCCAATCGGGACGGGGGATCACGGTGATCTTAGTAAACCGCCCGTCACCGCACACTCTGTAAACCCAGCCAATAGGGTACAGCGGGTGACACAGCAGGGAGGGGAGGAATGCTGACATAGGGGGGAGGAATGCTGACATAGGGGGGAGGAATGCTAGGGGGGAGGAATGCTGACATTGGGGCAGGAGGGGGGACGGAGGTGGTCTCAGTCCAGGGCTATTAAAGTGAACCTGTCATCAGGTGACATTGTAGAAAGGGATCACCATTGGCAGATCCAGCAAAGAGAACCTGTGGCCAGCCACACTTCAGAGTCATCCGATAGCCTTCGGGGGGCGATAATTCGGATATCGATCGACCCCCTGCAAAGTCCTTATTTCCCCTCAGTTCTCTTTGCTGGATCTGCCATTGGCAACCCCTTTGTGCAATGTCACCCGATGCCTGCGGAGGCCCAGCCAATGGGGTACCAGGGTGACGCTGTGCGGGGGTAGGGCACAGTCTTAGCCCAGAGCCATTGAAGAGAACCTGTCACCGAGTTCCAGCCAATCAGAATGGGGAATGATGGCGATCTTAGCAAGGAGTTCCTGTCACCGCGCGTGCACACACACAGGAAACCCAGTTAATGGGTTGCCGGGGTGACACTGTGGGGGGATGGTGGTGTCT